TTTATTTTTTATTATTGCTATTTTCTCACTTATCTCTATATTTGGATTACTTTTATTGGAATTTGTTAATTTATAAAGAGATACATATAATTCTGTTAGAGAAGCTTTTTTATGTTTTTTCTTAATTGAACCTAATTTAATAAAGTATCCCCTGGTGTCTGGTGTACCTTTATTTTTATTCTCTTCAAAAAAACGGTTTGTTAAATCTTTTATTGTATTTATATCTTGATGCTCCCTCAGGAGTAATTCATTAAGTCTCCAATTATTCCTGATTTTAATATCTGGTGAAATAGTAAGATCAAGTATTAATGGGTTATGATCTGACCAGGTTACTTCTTGAATCAGAACCTTTTTAACCCTATGTGAAACCTCAGAGGAACCTAAAAATAAGTCTAATCTAGAATAAGTACAGTGTGCTTTAGAAAAACAAGTAAAGTCTTTTTCTAGTGGATGGTTAATCCTCCATAAATCTAATAATCCATACTCATTTATCAGAGTTGAAAATTGAATTGATGATTTATTTCCCCTTTTATCTTGGATGACCCCTGTTAGTGAATTCCTATCCAACGTTCCGTCCAAGATACAGTTAAAATCTCCTCCCAAGATAATCTTGCCCTTTCTAATTTTTTCTAGTTTACACAAAATCATTTGTATAAACTGCACAGAATTAGTATTAGGAGCATAGATATTTACAATAGTAAATTCTTCATTTTGTATTTTACATATAGCTAAAATAAACCTTCCATTTTTGTCTATATCCTGATATATGATTTGAATATCTAGAGCGTCTGTTACTAAAAGAGCTACTCCACATTTCTTTTTATCCTCCAATGAAGAGCAGAGTTGAGTTTTAAAGTTTTTGGGGATGAAGCGTTTTGTATCTCGTCTTAACCAGTGAGTTTCTTGTAATAATATAACTTTTGCACCTTCCTTTTTAATATATTGAAACACCGTGGTTCTTTTAATTGGGTTATTTAGTCCCTGTACATTTATTGTCATAAACTTAACCATAAACTATCCATCTGTAACTCGTGACTATAACCCTCAGCAAAAAAGCATAAACATAAAAAAAAAAGAAAAACACATACCACATTTACATTCATGTAGTTCAAACATGAGGCATTCCATATCCACACAATTAATACAAAATTCCATCTCCACTCCCACTTAGTGGAAGACAGAAGATGCATCCCAAAACCCTGGGTTTGCATCCAAAACTCCAAAAACAGATATGGAGTTAAATTGGGGGAGCGTGAGGGAAACCCTCCTCTAGAGTGTCGCAGGGAGTCTATATAATCCTTATAACAAAGAGAAAAGAGGGAGAAGGAAAAAAACAAAAAACTCATTTATGTATACATTATCCTATTCCCCACTAGCAAAGACATTTTACAATGTGATTATTTCAATTTCTTATATACCAACTTTATATTAGTGAGGTCAATCTATATATTCTATAACTTTTACAGATGAATACCGTATCGTACAAACCATTATAATCATTTTAACTATTGCAATTGCACCATAAAACTAAAAAAAACTAAAAACTAAATAAAAAATAAAAAAATTAAAAAAAACAACTATTTACAATGTGGTTATTTCCAAATTCTTATATACCAACTTTGTATTAATATAGTGAATCTTTATAGTCTATAGCTTTTTCAAAGCAGTATCTTACGGACCTTATAGTCAATTTAACTATTAAAATTACATCCAGAAGGAGAAAAAAAAAAAAAGAAAAGAACACATTTGTAGATGCCTTAACCTATTCCCCACTAACAGAGACACTTTGCAGTGTAATTAATTCAGTTTCTTGTATACCAACTTTATATAAGTGAGATCAATCTTTATATTCTATAAGCTTTCCAAACCAATATCATATCGTGAGGACCGTGTTAATCATTTTGGCTATTAAAATTGCACCAAGGAGAGAAAAAAACCCAAAAAAACACATTTATAGATACCTTAAGCTATTCCCCGTTAACAGAGACACTTTGCAGTGTAATTAATTAAATTTCTTGTATACCAACTTTATATAAGTGAGATCAATCTTTATATTCTATAAACTTTCCAAACCAATATCATATCGTGCAGACCATGTTAATCATTTTGGCTGTTAAAATTGCACCAAAGAGTGGAAGGATCTTTATATTTGAGTATTCTTCTTTTTTACTACCTTGCTTTGAAGCCTTTCTTAGTTCTTCTCTAAATAAGTAGGAATTACAGCAGACCATAATGTCCCTGGGAACTTCCGTTGAAAGATTTTTTGGTTTTGGAATTCTGTGACATCTCTCTAAGAATTTATGATTCTCGTCCTTCTGAATACCTAATTCCATAAAATATGATTCCAGAAAAACTTTAATTTTTTCTTGTGTAATACTTTCTGGGATGTTCCTTAATCTCAGATTATTTTGTCTTGATCTGTCTTCGAGATTATTTATCTTTGATTCTAGCTCTTGAATTTTCTGGTTTAATTCTCCCTGTTGCTGTTGTTGGTTTTTGATTATTATATCAGTTAAATCCATTTTTCTTTCAACTTGATTAATCCTCAGGCCTATCTCTTTAATTTCCTTTTTTAAGTTCGCATTATTGTTAAGAATTTCTTGCTTTATTGCTAAAAGTTGCTGATCTAAACAACTTTTTAGAAATTCTGGCGAGACCATCGAGTTTTCTATTTGTGGTGTTTCTAATTGAGCTGTTTTTTTCTCTCCTGTTATCAGGTTAATTTCTTTTACGAAACTCTCCACCAATGATTTATCCATTTGGGGAGTAAAAAAATTAGAGAGTATTTTTTCAGTCTTAGTCTCTTTTCTTTCCAACCTCTCCTTATGCTCTTTATCTTTATCTTTGTTAAGGGTCGATTTATTTTCTTGGTTTCTTCTAGTTGACATAATTTTGTTGAAATGTGCCACCAAATTTTCTTCTTAATTCTTCTCTATAGCCTTCAAACTCTATCAGCTCATTTCCTTGAATGGGCTAGTCGACTGATCTAAACGTGCTTCTACAACTTTAAGAACCTGTAATTTATATATCACGTCCCACCTTTAATTAATTAGATTTACTTTCATCTCTCTTTCAACTCTCGCTTTTTGACGATATCTTTATGGATATTCTCTTTATAAGGGTGTCTAGTCATAGGTGGAAGTGTAGTGATTTAAAACACATTCTGTTGTATTATCCAACTATGGTAGTTAACACACTTCTTTTAGACCACTTTCCATTACATTACTTTAGTGACCCGTGTTTGGTAAAGCTGGAGGGCCCAAGAGAGAAAAATTCAAAATATTTTAGGCAATTATATAGTGTGAAGGATATCAGAAGTAGGTAATTCTCACCAATCTAGCCTGCATTATAAATGCCAGCCTTCCTTAGGATACTGTCGTCCACCATATATTTGTCAAATATGGAGTATCAAGTATCCACTGCAATCACTTATTTTGCCTTTTCTCCCATAACAGAAGTAATGATGGAGCGTTTTCCTTCCTCTCATGAATTAAAAAGCACTCGGGTCAAGGATTATGATCGGGCTGCTTCTTTGTATCGTCTTCTCCAGCAGCTCTAGCATACCGCTAAGAGCTCCGGCGTCTATCTCCCACGACACTCTCGGCGGGCTTCACTCGCTCCACCCCCTTCCATAGCGTTCACGCATGCACGCGGCCTACGTCATCCCCGAGCCCACAATATGAGTAGTTATTCTTAAAATTTCACAAAAATCCCAAGCAGTGATCTGGTTTAATGAGGGCTACCTACCCGGTATTTATGCAGGTCTGCCACTTGGTGGACACTCCCCTAGAGGACCAGATGGAAGACTTTGACCAAAAGGATACAGTAGCCAATCACATACATACACAGTAGCCAATCACATACATACACCGACATCACAATCCCTGCTCTCTATCCTAGAGATAATTGGGAAGTAATCCAATTATCTCCAAGTACAGAGGCAAACTCCATTAAGCACATGGCAGTAAAAAGACAGTAAAAGACATAAAAATACATAATATAAAAACTACTGAATGAAATATGCATGTTCAACCTATCCCCAGATAGCTTAGATCTGAGCGCACATTATTACCGAATGGCGCTCAGATCACATACGTACAGTTCAATCGCCATGGAGCCAAAGTCTTTCCCATAGTCTTTCATTACACGAATAGGCTCCATGGCATGGCTATCTAAAGCTAAACACCGCTGGCCGATCGGGACTTTAAAATGGCCGCCGCCACATGTGAGCTACACGAACAGCGACCTCCCAGCATTCACCAATTAAGCTGTGGTTAACCGCAGCTTCTGGGACGTCAGTTGATGGCACACTCTAGTTCACAGGTGGTCGATCGTTCGGTAATTTGTTCGGTAGATTCAATCTCCCGAACACCCAGGCAGAAAGGCATGAACAAGCCTTACTGCAGGGGCAAATCAAGCGTTTTAACATGGGTCCATAGCCTAAAGGGAGCAGGCGAGCAACCAGGCTTCTCCAATGCCCAGTGGCGAGGTCGGTTTCACTCACACACTCACTGACAGACAGACACACATAAACACTCACTTACAAAACATACACTCTCACTGACAAACACACACTCATTAACAGACACCATACAGACTTACTAACAGACACACACAAACTAACACTCAGTAACACACACACACTCACTGACACACAAACTAAAACACACACTGACATTCACTAGCAGACACACTCAATAGCAGACACACACTCAATAACAGACACACACAAACTAACACACACAGTAACACACACAAAAACTAACACACTCACACACACTCACTAGCAGACACACACAGTAACACACACACTGACACACAAAAACTAACACTAACACACACACACAGTCTAACACTAACAAACACACACTCTAACACTAACACACACACATGTTTCTTTAAAATTTAATCCCCCAGCCTCCTTATCTTTGGGAGAGCTATCGGGATTCCCTGTGGTCCAGTGGTGCTGCTGGGCGGCCGGTTACTGGGCTGGCTGGAGCACGCGCGAGGGAGCACTCTCCCCTGAGCGCTCTCTGCCCAGCTCCCTCGCGCGCCGCGTACTGATGTCAAAGCCACAATGACGTCATATGCGGTGCGAGAGGGAGATGGGCAGAGAGTGCTCAGGGGAGAGTGCTCCCTTGCGTGCCCGCCAGCCATCCCACCCAGTGGTACCAGGGCCAGCCTCGGGGGGCCCTGAGGTGGCCAACTCCTGGGCCACCCAGGAGAAGAGGCTGGCCACACTGGCGTAAATACTGGTCGCAGGGCCGCGGTACCTCTGTATGTATTCCAGTGCCTAAGACACTACAAAAAGTGTTAAGGAATGGTTTGAGGAACATGTCAAAGCGTTCAAGGTGTTGTCTTGGCCTCCAAATTCCCAGATCTCAATCTAGTTGAGTTTTTGTGGGATATGCTGGAACAACATATCTGACCCACGAGGTCCTATCTTGCAACTTGCACTTAAAAGATCTGCTGCGAATGTCTTGGTGCCAGAAACCAAGGGACATGCTTTGAGTCCATGCCTCAATGCATCAGAGTTGTTTTGGCAGCATGAGGGTGGAAACAAGTTGAGAAAGAATGAGGTTAAAATGGCCTATGACTTCAACTATTTGCCTTAAGTGGTTTGTGTTCATCACATTTTGATTCTGAGTCTGTGCTTTCAGGTTGCATGCAGTACCAGCTTTGGCAATTGGGACTGTATCCATACCAATGATTATAAATTACAAGCTTTACCAACTCTGGCCATACATAAATTATCTTGTCAGCGCTTAGGCAAACTGTGTGGTTGTGTTTAGGTGATATGCATTGCCCATCAGCTCCCTGAGTTTTGTGCCTAATCATGAATTTAAAGAAATGCTGTAGAGTTAGGAACACAAATATGTTTTCCTGACACCATAGTGTGAAAAACACTAAGTATCCCCCCTGAGCCCCTGAATATAGTAAAATCTTACCTTTATTCAAGTCTCCTGTTGCTGGCTCTGCCCCTGATCTGCTGATTGGCTAGCATCATCAGAAGTGAAGATCTGAGCCAATCACAATGCTTTTCCATTAGAAAGCATTGGTTTGGTTAGGCTGAGTGTGTCAAGGAGGCAGATCAGGGCCAGAGCCAGCACAAGCCAAACACAGCCCTGGCCAATCAGCATCTCCTTATAGAGATGCATTGAATTCCCAGATTTTACTATTAACATGACGTAAAGTCATGATTTTATTAATGACACAGAGGCTCCTGTTATGCTTTCTCTTTCCTTTAATATCCATCAGCAGCGAAGAGAGATGTACCGTATATACTCGAGTATAAGATAAGTTTTTCAGCACATTTTTTGTGCTGAAAAACCCCCACTCGTCTTATACTCGAGTCACTGTATGAATTTTGCCAACTTACATTGCCATAATACAGACCAGGACCGCCGGGCTCATTACAAGCCCTGCGGTCCTGTTGGGGGCTGGCAGAGAGCTGTAACTTACCTTTCCTGCAGCTCCTGTCAGCTCCCTTCTCCTCCGTTCCGGTCAGCTCCCCTGTAAGTCTCGCGAGAGCCACGGGTCACACACTGCATTCATTATATACACACCCACTGTAAATAAATATTCAATTAATATAATTTTTTTGGGATATAATTTTATTTAGAAATTTACCAGTAGCTGCTGCATTTCCCACCCTTGTCTTATACTCGAGTCAATAAGTTTTCCCAGTTTTGTGGGGTAAAGTTAGGGGTCTCGACTTATATTCGGGTCAACTTATACTCAAGTATATACGGTATACAAAAGAGAAAATGAATAAACATAACATTGCATGGTAACTGTGCAACCAATCAGCATCCAGTCTGTGGTATATCAGGGGTTGCACTCCTCAACTCTTCATCTTTCTGTAGCTACCCGAAGACCAGCAGAAACTGTAAAAGCAGAACAGAACTGAACCAAGAAAAATGAATAGACAACATGTGTCCTTCTTCTGTGGGATAACAAAAACTTTAACCACATCTCAAGACTTCATGGTGATGGCAGAAGCATTCAAGCTAAAAAAGATGAGAACAATGGTAATATCGAGTTGTGATTTGACTTCTGTGAATGTGTGCAACAGTATAATATATACACTCAGAAATATATTTAAAATCCTTCGAATATGCACAACAAGTCATCCTCATTGGTACTTACCATGAAAGGCTATAAATGCTTGACAGCAAAAAATTTTTCCAAAATCCCAATCCAAAGGGAAGGGTGGGTGGGAATAATACTAGCCTCCGTGTCATTAATATAATCATGACTTTACGTCATGTTAGTATTAAAATCTGGGAATTTTATTAAAGACACGGAGGCTCCTATTATGCTATTTTAATCTCTTCCCGACCGTGGACGTACTAGGTACGTCAGACAAAAATGGTCCTTAAGGACCGCGGACGTATCTAGTACGTCTGCGGCATTCCTTAATACTTAACCGATCGCCGCCGTTCCCCCACTGGCGATCAGTGTTGCTCCCAGTCTGGGGTGACTGCCTGACAGTCCAGACAGTTCAGCAAATTAGTCGTACAGGCATCTGCCTGCAGGGGGACTGCCTGGGTTGTCAAGCAGTCTCCCTGCTTCTCTAAAATAAAAATAAAAATATTATTATAAAATATAAATAATAAGTAAATAAAAATCAGTAAAAAATGTAAAAATAAAAAAATTATATATATATATATATATGTAATTTTATTCTAACTGTATTTTGATATTAATATATATATTTATATCAAAATACGCTTAGAATGAAATTATTTATATAGCTCTGTGTATAAATAAATAAAAATAATACGACATATATATATTCATATATACATAAATAATTTCATAAATATGCACGTAGACTTTAAATACATAAATATGTGTATATATTTAAATTCTATGTGCATATTTATGTAATATGTAATATTTTTACATAATTAATTTTATTGATTGCTATTTAAGGGACCTGCCTGACAACCCAGGCCAAAAGTCCAGAGAACTTAATTTGCTAGCACTGTATTTAACACTGTAAATTTCCATGACACCCTAAAACCTGTATATGGGGGGTCCTGTTTTACTCAGGTGACTTCACTGAACACAAATATTAGTGTTTCAAAACAGTAAAACATATCACAGTGATGATATTGTCAGTGAAAGTGAAGTTTTTCGTATTTTTCACACACAAACGGCACTTTCACTGATGATATCATTGTTGTGATACACTTCACTGTTTTAAAAGCACTAATATTTGTGTTCAGTGAAGTCTCCTGAGTATAAAAGTACCACCCATGTACAGGTTTTATAGTGTTTTTGAAAGTTACAGGGTCAAATATAAAAAAGAGGGGGTGTGAATCAGCGCCTTCAACTCCAAGAACAATATATGCAGCAATCCTTTAAGAAGGGGAATGTAACGGAACACCCGTACTCCGACTGAGTACCCTCCGTTGATGGAGGCTTCCTAGCTTGCGCGGAGGACCACAAGCACCACACCGCTGCTTGTGGAGTCAGGAGCTGGCGTGTGGTGAGGTTTTTCAGGCCTCTGGACCCAGGAACTGACAGATGAGGTGTGTCAGTTTGCCGGGTCAGGATTCTCCATGATGCTTGGGGTCCCTGGTGAAGTCTACCAAGAAGCCTCTGCCTCCTGTGTTGGGGCGGTGTGCGCCTCTTGGTTTGCCGCCTTGCTGAAGCTTGAGCTGGGTGCTTTCCTTCCCGTTGCCACTTTGATGCCTTTTGTGCTGTCGGCATCTTGGGTTTCTGCTGTGGGCTTTGCTTTTGCCGCCGAGGTATGTGGCCCTCTGGCTGCGGTTGCGTCGCTCTCCTCCTCTCATTCTCCTGTCTTTGCTTGAGGTTGATTGATTTGGCATGCTTGACTCTGACATTTGTGCCACAATGCGGGTGCCTCTGTGAGCAGAGTCTCGGCGCCGTGGGCGATGCAGGGGACTCCAGAGTGGCTGAGTCAGAGGTGGTTCTGGTACAGCAGGTGAGGCATGTTGTGGGGTCAGTGGGGAACCCCGCTGTCTCTCCTCGATGCGGAGCCAGAAGGCTGCGAAGACAGCATCCAGCTGTGTGAGTATCGATCGGGTGTTCACAGTTTGAGTAGGTCTGTCTGTGACCCCCGTCATCTTTGGTGCAGCAAGCATCCATCGGCTTTGGAACCACGAGTTGCAGGGATGTTCTCCTGAGACCGGGATGACCCCCACCGGTCCAAAGGGGGGGGAACGAGGGCCCAGTATCGGGACTCCAGTTGTGAGTGGCGTCGGAGGAGCGGCCGTCTCCTCCGCGCCAGCCATGCTTGTAGGCCGCATACGGTGCTCGGGTGAGTCTCATTTCAGATGTGGCATGTTTGGTAGTAGTTGGATCACCCGAGTGTCACCAGTGGCTTGGTGGCCCTTGTGTGTGTCGTGCACCCGCTTTGGTTTGACGTTTTTTCGCTTTATTTGCCAGTAAAAGCAGGAGCTGTGTCTACAAGCATCCGCTCAGCTCAGCGGTCAGGCCCCGCCCCCCCCTTTTTGCATTTTTAACACACAAACAAATATAAATGCTAACTTTGGCCAGTGTTTGTGACTAAGTGGCTACTAAAAAAGACTGGACATACCCCATATTGAATACCCTGTGTTGTCTACTTAAAAAAAAAAAATATGTAAGGTGTGTTTCAGAGATTTATGACAGATAAAAGTGTTACAATGTCACTATTGATCATTTTTAAAAAATATATATGTAACGGCACCCCCAGGTATAAATGGGGTTAAACAGCCGTTTAGAGGATATTAACCTTCCAGATACACAGGCAGCTACCAAAGACACCAATCCACCGAACCGGAGAAGCATATGAATGTTGTAAACAGCCGAACCGGAACCATATGAATGCTGTAAACAGCCAAATAGGAAAAACCATACGAAAGGTTTACACTCCTAGCAGTCGAACTGGAACAGCATGCAATAAATCCCCCCCGCAAGAATGAGACAAGGCTCCGTTTTGAGGGTCAAGCAGGAACAGACAGAGCTGTGGGTTTATTGTTCTTATATACACATTCTTACACATTAGTACCACCCACAGGGTTTTGGAAAATACAGTTTTTCCACATTATTCATAATTTTAAAAGTATGCATCCCATTCACATAAGAAGCATGTCTTTTCTGCCCAAAACCAGTTCCACAGAGTCTTCTATCCTGGAGATAATTGGGAAGTAATCCAATTATCTCCAAGGACAGAGGCAAAACTCCATTAAGCACATGGTAGTAAATAGACAGTAAAATACAATAAAATACACAAGGTTACATTTATTACATAAAATACAGACATGCAACATATCCCCAGATAGCTTAGGTCTGAGCGCACATTATTACTGAATGGTGCTCAGACCAGTGGTGTATCCTGGTTTTGTGCTGCCCTAGGCAGGACAAAACTCAGGCGCCCCCCTGCCCCCGCGCCACCCCCACCCAACCCTTCCCCCCGCCCCACCTTACACACACAGTCAGACACAAACACAGACACAAACACAGTCAGACACACACACAGTCAGACACACACACACAGTCAGACACATACACAAACACAGTCAGACACAAACAAACACACACTCACAAACACAGTCAGACACAAACACACACATACACAGTCAGAGACACACACACACACACAGTCAGAGACACACACACTCACAAACACACAGTCAGACACAAACACAGTCAGATACATACACAAACACAGTCAGACACAAACACACACACACTCAGACACATACACAGACACAAACACACACACACACACACACACACACACACACACACACACACACACACACACACACACACACACACACACACACACAGAGACACACACACACACAAACACACAGTCAGACACAAACACAGTCAGACACAAACACAAACACACACAGTCACAAACACACACAGTCAGGCACAAACACACACACACTCAGACACATACAGAGACACAAACACAGTCAGACACAAACACACACACACTCAGACACATACACACACACTCACAAACACAGTCAGACACAAACACACACAGTCAGACACACACACACATTACCTTTTTTTTTTTTTTTTAATTTAAATCCCCCCCCAACCTCCTTACCTTTGGGAGTGCTGGGGGGGGTCTCTCTCCCTGGTGGTCCAGTGGCTGCAGGGCGGGCGGCGCTGGCAGGCGGGCAGGCGGGCGGGCAGGCGGGCGGGCGGCTGGCGAGGGAGCACTTCCTATGAGCTGACTGCTCAGCTCCCTCGCGCGCCGGCTGCAGAGTGAGGCTGGGAGCCGGAAGATTACGTCATCTTCCAGCTCCCAGGCTCACTCTGCGGCGCGCGAGGGAGCTGAGCAGAGAGCTCATAGGAAGTGCTTCCTCGCCAGCCGCCTGCCCGGGATGTCAGTTAGCCGCGAGGCTAACTAGGCATTTGCCCTGGGCATTTGGGGGGCGGCGTTTTTTGCCGCCCCCTGAAAAATGCCGCCCAAGGCAAATGCCTTGTTTGCCTCGCGGCTAATACGCCCCTGGCTCAGACCACACACATACAGTTCAATTGCCATGGAGCCAAAGTCTTTATTACACGACTAGGCTACATGGCATAGCTATCTGGGTTAAACGAGTTCATTCGGTAAATCCGAGAATCTACCAAACGCCAGGGCAGAAATACATGAATAGACCTATCTGCATAGGAAAATAAAGTATTTAAATGCTGGTCCATAGTCAAAAGGCAGCAGGCAGGCAACCAGGCTCCTCCAATGCACAGTGGCGAGATTGGTCTCGTCACAATATATTTTAAAACAGCAATGTCCAACATGTTTTTATAGCCCTATAACTTGCAAAAAAAAAAGCTAAGAACACGTTAACATTGGGTATTTCTAAACTCAAGACAAAATTTAGAAACTATTAAGCACGGGTGTTTTTTTTCGGTTGTAGATGCATAACGGATTTTGGAGGTCAAAGTTAGAAAAAGTGTGTTTTTAAGAATTATTTCATCATATTTAATAACTTTTTTATAGCAAATTATATGATATGATTAAAATAATGGTATTTTTAGAAAGACCATATTATGGCCAGAAAAACAGTATATAATATACAGTAAATTAGTAAGAGGAAAATTACAGCTAAACCCAAACACCGCAGAAATGTAAAAACAACCATGGTCCTTAACGGTAAGAAAGTTTAAAAAACATCGTCTGGTCACTAAGGGGGTTAAAGCTGAGCCACAACCTACTCCGAGAAGTGTTGTATCAGTCTAAAGTAAAAGGAAAGTTGATTCTGTGGACCAATCCGCAGCCCTCAGGATGTCTTCTAGTCTGCAACCAACTGTTGAAGCATTGGAAATTGTGGTATCGATACCAGCCATGGATAACAGCCATTTAGCCTAGCGAGCTAAGGTAGGTGTAGACACTGGTAGATGAGGTCTTTTAAACGAGATGAATAGAAGGCCGTCTTGTGATGGGCACAATGAAACAGTGCGTAGTTTATATTCCTTCAGACATAAAATCGGGCACAGATTAGGTTGTTCTGGCAATCTAGGACAGAAGATGTTTTTGGACGAAGACTTCGTCCTCTGCGAAATATAGAAGGATACTCCTTCTATGAAGGCCCTGGCAAGCCAATCCAACCCTCTGATGTCAGATACCCATTTGCAGGACTGCAAACAAAACAGCATGAGTAATTTGGCTGATAGCTGTTTCAGGGATAACTCTGTGTTTTGCAGCTAGAAGTTCACTCTGCGGAGCGTGGGTGGCGTAGGTCATCTGGGCCAAATACCGGGGTTGCCTTAGCGTCCAGTAGTTCGCCTGACCCTGCCAGGTCTGATAGCTCAGTTGTCAGAGCCTTTTTGGACGATGCAGAGGCAAACTGCTTCCCTGCAAGGTCCTCGCCCTTAGATATCTCGTCCTCATAAGGATTCGGGTAAGTCTCGTCTGATCCCTCCTCCACACTTTTGTCCAAGTTGGACAGTATCTCTTGGGCTCTCATCCTTTTCCAAGTTCTGGCTGCTTTTGCCCAGCCAGTGGCTCTGTTGCGCAGTTGTTGTGCGCCATCATGGACAGCCCGAGTGGAGGGGTATAGAGTGTTTCCGCTTGCACAGGGCTTTGTGGCCCGGCAAGGTTACGCTAGGCGCAGCAGCACTCTGCATAGGGGCTTGGGAAGCAGGGTGTGCCTGCATCAATGCCTGTGTAATGGACTGGGTAATCATGGAGTACATGACTCCCATGGCCGATGTTAAGGCCTTACTAATGAAATTCGTCATTGTTGCATCCAACAGGCTTTGGAATTCTTCTGAGGCCATCAAGGTGGTGTCATCCATGGGGTCAAGGGTAGGGGCCCTGGTAGAGTTCAGAAGTCAGAGGTTTGCCAGCAGCCCCATGACCAGTAGACTGCATACTGATATGCAACAATCAGAGTGTCCCCAAACGTGGGTGTTCAATAACTATATCTAGCCCAACAAAGCTACTTAGGGAAGGTATGGAGAAACTATGAGATAACTATGAGAACAGAGTAAAGTTGGTAAGTGGTAAAGATGGCTTAATCCAGCCACACTAACCCAAGGAGCTAGCAGGAGGCAAAAACCCTATAGCAAACAGATACACAACAACAACGATACCTGGGACAGCGAGTGTGCCAGAGGAATAGGAGCCGTGTTCTGTCAGCCAGCCGGACCGCACTGAGATTCCCGCTCTTAGGGGTAAGAAAAATGGGCGCCGTCACTAGCAGTGACATTGGAACAAAAAAAAATGGCAGCCGCAAACGCATTGCACATGCGTGGCAATGAATGGCATCACTTGCGCACGAAAACACATGCGAACGGCATCCAGAAGCAGTGAAAACTTGAGACGAAAGCCGTGGGTGTGTCCTGACGACCATGGTTTCCCACGGGCAGGGAGAGGGCACGGATGAGGCAGGAGAACCCCTGGTGCCTTCCCTCGGCCTGATAAAAGATCATGGAGAGGGAGGCAGAGAAGGGGTCCCCGAGGGAAATGGGCAGACCCAGACAGATGTAAAATCAAGCAGTTTGGCACACCCCCTAGATCTCAACTAATCTATACAGACATAAAACATATAGTAATTACGGTATCATAATAGTAGTAACAAAGTAAAGTGATTCTTTAGTACACAAAAGTGTACTTAGCTGGTCTGAGGGAGCAGCGAAGAAAGAGAAAGAGTTGAGGAGTGCAACCCCTGATATACCACAGGCTGGATGCTGATTGGTTGCACAGTTACTATGTAATGTTATGTTTATTCATTTTCCCTTTTGTAAATTAAAGGAAATTAAAGGAAAGAGAAAGCATAATAGGAGCCTCCGTGTCATTAATAAAATCAATGCATCTCTATGAGGAAAGTTCAGTGTCTCCATGCAGAGGGTGAAGACACTAAATAGCACTGCTGCACACTGTGAGAAGCAGCTGCTTCTTGCACCGAATGTGCCCCGAAAGCTGTGCCTGCCGAAGATAAAAGCCAATGGACCAATCTGGCCAATGTAGTGACTGAAACTGGACAGTAAGGTCGAACATAAGATATCAACAGTGGGCTGGAGAAGGGAGACCGTGGCGTCATGGTAGCGTCCACATAGGAGCGTAGGGTCGACATCACGCCATGTTGACGATCTGAAGGGAAGAACAGATAGAAAACGAAGTGGAGTCGGTTTTTGGTGCCATGGGAGATATGAATGGTAACCCCATTAGGGGACAAGGAGAAGGCATCCACATCGAAAACCTGCACTTCAGAACCCGTCCGAAAGAGACCAAGCAGAAAAGAGAAGTAAACTTGGTCCATAAGTTGCCGTAGAGAGAGTCGGTCGTTAGAGGGCCAGTTACGCAAAAACTGGAGGATAACCCCGACGTCCCAAAGCCGTGAATATTTGGGTCCTGAAGGACGACATAACCAAATGCGGCATATAAGGTGATCTTGCCCCACCGGAATCCCATGTGATGGAACGTGGGCTGCTGAGATAGCCGACCGAACCACATTAATGGAATGATAAGATTTTCCAGTGATAAATAGCGATGAGATACAGGTGCCGTAAGGGGATCGAGGTTCCGTCCCAGACACCAATTGGACCAGGACAGCCAGGCTCAGAGGTAGCATCTTCTCGTCCCTGGCACCCAGGAGTCCCATTGGAGGTCCTTAACATCCTTCGATAAGTCTCTGATGCACCATGCACCCCGGAAAGCGCCCAAACCACCAAGAGGAGGTGGCCTCCTAGGATCATCGGATGCGATTGTCCTAACGGGTTCCTGAGGACTGACAGGGTCATTTGGCAGGAGGAGGGGATCCTCGTAAGATAATTCCAGTAGATCTGGGAACCAGGCTTGACTCTGCCATAGAGGTGTAAGTAGCGTCAGCACCACTTCCGACAGACCTGGTGTAGGACTCTTGCTATCATCGCAAACGGTGGGAAGGCATAGGTTCCATGGTGTGGAATCTGGTTGAGTGCCAAATATGGCTCGGCCGTTCCAAGCCTGCACGCAGTCCAGCCACCATTGAAGTTCCGTGCAAATTTTGTCCGACATCTGTACAGGTTGATCGCATGTGAGGTTCTGGCGAAGGAACCATGCCTTGAGGCATTGCATGGCTCGATAATGTAAAGGGCCTGGGAAAACCGCCTGGATGGAGGAGGACAGCAGACCCACGATACGTGCGAGCACTCGTAGAGGGATGGATGGAATTCAAATCACTTTGCAAATCTTTTTTCGAATGGCAGAGACCCTCTGGAGAGGTAGACGCAGGGTACAGGATGTGGAGTCTATTTCAAATCCCAGGTACTGTGTGAGAGGGGTTCAGCGCTGATTTTGGCTGATTGATCACAAAGCCCAAGAACTCCAATAATTGGACGGTGTAGGTGGTGTAAACTCGTAGTATGTCCCTGGACTCGTGAAACAGTAGGATAACATCTAGATATATGATGCAATGTATCCCCTGAGGCCGGACTACAGGTTTTAGCATTTTTGTAAAGCACCAGAGACTGAACGGCAGGCATGTGAACTGCCACGTGGTCCCGTGTGAGAGGAAACGTAGGAACGGACGACTCATTTCGTGTATGGCAATCGAAAGGTATGCATCCTTGAGGTCCAGACAGGTGAACCAGTCGCTGTCCCAGAGCAGGTCCCAAAGGAGGTGAATACCCTCCATTTTGAAGTGATGTTATACTACGTGGGTGTTCAGTTCCCGAAGGTTGATGACCGGGTGAAATTCCACAGATTTCTTCTTTACCAAGAAAATGTTGCTGAGAAAACCGCCTGGTTCTGTAGCCGGTTGAATAGCACCTTTCAAATGCAGGTCCCATAGTTCCCCATCTTTCAGTTGCTTGTCTGCGGTGGCGAATCTTAGTGGACAAGGGGCTTAGATTTAAAACTGGACGTCCTCGAACTCTATCTGGTAGCCCTGCACGGTTTGTAGGATCCAAGTGTCTGATGAAAGGTCTGCCCAGATTTGGACAGTATGTGAAGGGAAAATAAAATGATGACTTGCCAGAGGTGAATCTTGCGCGAGAATGACCTCTTCCATCGCGGCCGCTGTCTGAGCCTCTGGAATAATGAAAGCGTTGGTGGTTCCCCACCTCCAGGTAGAAGTGTTGGTTCTGGTTTGTACAGGGGCATGATGGCCAGAAGCAACTGGTGGCACGGCCCCTCTGCCGAGCCCTGCCAAAAACACCTCTCGGTGTCTTCATATTGAAGACTGAGCCTTATTCAGTGAAGTAAATATATTAATGTATATATTTGGCGTCATCAGCCAAATACGTCATCCGGGCCAGAGGCCCGATGGCATCCAGAAGTTTATCCTCTGCCCCTTTAAAGCCAAGTTCGACCCCTTTGAGAGGGTCTCTGCCACCACGGGCCATAAACGTCAGCATGAACTGGTCAAATTCCAGGGTATAGGCCAGTTTATCGGCCAGCATAGGGCAAGGGCATTCCGACCATATGCGTGTCCTAACCTCCTTGTCAAGGGTTTACGGAGCCAAAGTGCATGAAGTTGGCTAAGTGTGCTGGGGGTGACCAGTCACTGGAGCGAGGGTGGCGGACGTTCCGCGGGTCGAACATGTGTAGACTGCAAGTGTCCAGGAACACTTCAGTGTCATCTTGATAGCCCGGGTCGTCGCCGGTCACTGTGTCTTCTTTCTGGGGCTCACCCAGAAATGTTTTCATTACTCAAGTCAAACCTAGTAGTGAAGCCCCATGGGCCCTCATCCGAGTTGGACGCTTCCGCCTGCCACTCATCCAGTATAGAAAACGCGTTTGTGGGATCCTGCTCCTTATTCGAGGAGGGAATCTGCACAGGTCCTTGGACTGGCTGTGCCGTGGGTCTTCCGTGCTTGAGAGGCGCTTTGCCCTTCTTGGCATTAGACCCCCGCCCTTCCAGTAGCGTTTGGCCAGGAAGGAGCTTTCCCTGGAGGAGTCAGAGTCCTCTGAATCCACCCTGTGGTGGATTTGTTTGGGGGCCATCTTAGCGGGGTCTTGGCCTCCCGATGGATATGTATTGTCTGGGGGGCCCGGTCAACGCTGGGCGCTTTAACAGTGCAACCGGGCCCCCTGTGATGACATCACAAGCTGGGAAGAAGTGACTGCATGTCACTCCTCCCAGAATACACCAAGCCCGCGCGGGAGGAAGAACAGGGAGTCAGAGTGGGAACTCTGATTCCCATCCACCTGAGCCACCACTGGACCAGAGGGAAAGTCACCCTCCTACACCTAAAAGGTAGGAAACAGGAATGTGACTTAAACATTTTGTGTGTGTGTGTGTGTCTGTATGTATGTGTATGTGTGTGTCTGTCTGTGTATATATGTATGTGTGTCTGTCTGTATGTGTGTGTCTGTATGTCTGTGTGTGTGTCTGCATGTATGTGTGTGTGTGTGTGCTTGTCTGTTTGTATGTATGTGCCTTTGTCTGTATGTATGTATGCCTGTCTGTATGTGTGTGTGTGTGTCTGTCTGTATGTGTGTGTCTGCCTGTGTGTATGTGTGCCTGTCTGTTTGTATGTG